CGATTCTCACTCGCGAGTTTGGGGTACCTGTGGTGCCGGAGCTGTGCATCAAGTGGGCAGTAGATGATTAGCTCAAGCTCAATACCGGGTGTGGGGGGGAGGGGTACTCGACCAATATTTGGGTACAGGAGGGTCGCTAAGGGTTTGAAACCCTGACCCTGTTTAGCAAAAAAAATTTCTTAAATATATACCCTGTTTAGGACAGTGGACAAAGTTCATGCCGTCTTGTTTTAAAGCCATTTATTGGCAATTTCTATAGAGCGAATTCAGGTTATAGTCATTGCTTTTATATCCTTGGAATACAAACAAAATTCATCTAGCAAATCAAATCAATCTTTCAGGGAATATCCTGTTGACAGATCAGAAGGAATTATTTACCCTGTTTAGGACACAGAGAGTCACAGAGAGGTTAAAAACCACACCCTGTCTAGTGGCACATTTCCGTCTAGGCCAGATGAGGGAGTATCCACCCGGGTTCAAGACAACCGGGAATACAAAAAAAATCGATGTTCATTTTTTATAACTCACTAATCTTATAGTTACACGGAGATACCGATACACGGTTAACTCTCGACATGTCGATATTACGAACGCCTCAATAACTCATGATCAGGCGGCAGCTGATTTTCTCGACTAAACCAAACTGCAGCTATTACACCATGTTAAGCCACAGGCAAGTCCTTGTTTAGTTCTAACCGCGGGGGTAAAATAATCATCTAAAAAAAGAACGCTTTAAACGGCTCAAAACGGCGAAAACGGTTATGACGAATGACAAAGTTATCCTCTTCACTTTAACTTTTTATGAAACGTTTAGAGTCAAATCTCTAGTTTGGATTAAACTGTAGCCGTCGTAATGTTCATCTATTTTTCTTCAATTGAGTACAGAAGATCCATGCCCAGATTCAACAGTGCCACACGAACAGAGTATTAAGAGTGCTTTGCCTGTGGTTACGCTGCACCGACTATCGAGAGATATATACTAACTTTTGTGTTAGGATTCGAGTTAGGATTTGAGTTGGATTTTCGAGTTAAGATTCGAGTTATGATTTCAAGTTGGCTTTTGAGATGGGGTTTCGAGTTAGGATAGGGGTTAGGATTTCGAGTTGCATTTTCGAATTATGATTCGATTTAGAGATTTGATTTTGAAATGAAGTGTTGACAAGCGAAACACGACTCATAATCTCGTGATCAGTGTAAGACGTGAGTTAGCTTGGATGGTGGGTCATGTTATTCGATCATAGGTTACTCAGTTACTAGTGCAAACTTAGTTTTACTTCCAATAATTCACAAAAAAGCGAATCACCATGCACTCTTCTCCCTCGTTTCTCCTTTTTAACGTCTAAACATTTCTTCGTTTAAAAAGTCGAGGGCTGAAATAGGAACAGGCGACGACTTTAAAAGGGACGTCAAACGGGTCCGTAAAAACGCAAAGCAGGAAAACCCTCAGAGCGCTAATACCTTTCCATCACCGTGAAATCTACTGCTTCAAGGTCAAAATCAGGAAATCAAAGAGAGCCAGACTTCCGTTAGCCTGAAATTCATCCGATTGCTTCGAGTCGTTTTCTCCTCTCAACAACGTTTGAAACGACCGGCCGTTAATGCCGTCCAGTGACGTCACTGCGGGGAGTCGGTAGGTTTTTCATTTAGAGCCCGCTTTGTGGTTTCGGCGGCCGGTGATTTTGTTTAAGATCAATGTTATAATTCGACCTTCTTGGTATTTTTATGAGAATTTATCCGCGACGCGGGTACTGATGTACAATGTCAACACTCAGCTAGACAGAAGAGCTTACCGTTCTCGCCACGGCACAGAACGACTAGAGTTGCTTTTATAAAAACAAATAAGCATAAAGCGAGCCCGTCAAACTGAATAGAGTCGCGTGGAGAACTGAAACCATGCATGGTCTTGCCTGATCACGAAGTGGCAATAACAGAACATTCGCTTGACTGTTAAGCTAATTCAAAAGTTATTACCTAGGGCGGGAGAACTACACACTCCGGTCCAAAGACTCACTTTAATTATCTTTAAAAGAAAACTAGCTGGAGTTCAAAAATCATTGCTTAAAGAGCAATCTTGGCTGAGTCACGACGCAATTTGCCATGGTTGATGTAGCTTCAGTTTAAGCTGCAATCCGTTCTTCGAATTTGGATCCCTAAATTACTTAGCCTCCCACGCAGGCGTTTTTAGGGGAGCTCGTATTTCTTCCCTCCCCACAAACGCCTGCTCAACGGAAAACAACATTCCTTTCCCAAGCTTAGCCAATCACATTGTACTTTTTAAATTCTGGAAAGTTGACCTTGACCGCAAGGTAATCTGATAATTACTCGATCTGCATTAAACACTGGGAAAGCTTTCTGACCTGCAATAAATGTTAGATTCAGAGCGGCAAAAAGAAGTTTTAGTCAAAATTCAGAATACTCCGTGCACTGCATAACCTTAGCGAAGGAAAGAAAAGAAGGAAAACGGTAACTCTAAGGTCACGTTCAGTCGTGTTTAGCCTGTCAACACTTCATTGCACAATTGTTGATTGGTCACCTACCACGCAAATAAAACAATGAGAAAGGAATGTTGTTTTCCGTTGAGCAGGCGTTTGTGGGGAGGGAAGAAATACGAGCTCCCCTAAAAACGCCTGCGTGGGAGGCTATAAATTACTATGCGTGAGACTGATTTAACATCCTGCAAACTAATGAACCCTAACAAGGTGTGCCCAGCGTGACAATATATGTACGAAACCATCACATTTACGACGGACAAAAGAAAATTGAAACCCTTATTTAGCCGCTATGAAGAAACTTCCGTTTCAAAAGAGGCCAAAGAAAATGCACCTGCACCACAAGGTGACACTAGTACGTATTGCAGAGGGAAAAAAGGGTGGTTGACTCAGTAGTGTGTTATGACAAAAGCGGAATTCTAAAAGAGCGCTTTTACAAAAACAGATATAAGGCATTTCTTTCAAGAATGACAGATTTTCTTCATTTGAGACTATTATATCTTGCTAACAAACTTGAAATTGCAAAATCTGCTTCGGTCATGAGTCACTAGTGTTTCACCGACCATACAGATAATATCACAGAGTGCTGTCTTCTATTCGATCCTCAAACTTGAACACAAAATCACGTTTTTCCAGTTTGGCAGTACTGTGGCTTAAAGCATTGTCATAAAGCGCGGTGATCTATATAAATACAATCCTCCAAAACGTCTATCATTCCTTAATGTCTCGTAAAATGTTATCTAAATCACTGCCAAAACAGCAAAGATATAAGCGTTTTAAAAGATAAAGCACAAGAAAAATTTCGCTTTATTAATTTATTTATGGTTGGTCTCCCAACGGTCTTAAGTTTAAAATACACCTTACGTTTAAGTTGCTGATAGTAGAATATATAGAGCGTATAGGAGTGTACAGAAGTCTCCGTCATTAACACTAGAAAATTTAACAATCCTAGCTATGCCTTAGAATCTAGTCTTCCATTTTCGCTCACGTGCTGACTTTATCAAGAGCAAGTGCGCAAACGCGTGCTACAACAGGGTAACCTATAAAATACTCAGAACACGAAATTATTCAAATGGCGAACCAGTTTCCATTTGCAAAAGGACTAACCGTAATGAAAAGCTCCTGAAATTCCTATAATCGGTGACAAGATTACTTGAGATTTGTAGATTTTACTTGAGAAAGTAGATTTTCCTCCCCCATTCCCAACATGAGGTGCTGTACCGTTGTTCGAGCTGCCTTTGAGAAACAACGAACAACCCGAAGTACCCTTTTGTCACGACTGAGTGTTCTAACGATTACGTCGCCGATTGCAGATAATCAAAGTAAAAACTATGGGAAACTCGTGAATACCTTCTTTAGAAAATAGATAATTCGCGTAATAATAAAATGAGATATTTGTTTGAACTTGAAATGGTTTACTCAAGAGAATTCTATAGCTGCCGTGCATGTACTTGTTATTTTGGGTGGCAAGTACATGCAACTCGGGGTACAATGAGTAAAACAATCACTATAAGTAATTAAAAGAATTTTATTTAACGGAAACTGATTATCCTCTTTTCTCATGACAGCTAATTACTCCTGGCCTTTTTATCCGATTGCCAACCAGGCATTGTATGGTTACGACCAGGCAGCCAACAAATCTTTCAAAAGCGAGACAATCCCAAATGGCGTCAGAACTCAGGTGGAAGATGGAATCCATGCTCTGTTTGTGCCTCCAGGAGTAGAAATTGACCTTGGTGACTTTTCTGGTTCTTGCATCAGTAATCCAAATCTCTGTGAGAATTTTACAGTGTCATTTCTCTTTAGATCCGGAGCCGAAAAAGGACTAAAGGTGCTGGACTCGGGGGTAAAATATGGCGACAGAGATGAATATGGCTGGTCGTTTAAGATTTCTTCCACCTCAGTCGGTGAAGCGGTAGTTATGGTCTCAGATGGGAATAGTGAAGTATATTTCGAGAAACTAGCAGGAACTAATACTTGGATCCAAATGGTATTTACCTTTGATCCCGATTCAAGCAGCCGCAGTTTAGTCCTCTACCAAAACGGGTCCCATGGTGATGCACCCATGGGGAGCTCTAGTGTTTCGCTTCAAGACCGGAACACGCGTCTGAAGCTTGGCTCAAGATCCAATACAAAAGGATTCTTCATCAGTAACTTAAACTTTTTTGGAATTAAACTGAAAGTCGATGAAATTAAAGAACATGGAAACAGGAGTTTTAAAGAAGGTATGATGTGCTTAGACAGGGTAAAAAAGGAAATTTTAAGCAATTGTTGCGCGTTAACAGTCAACTACACAATGAAGGTTTATCTGACATCGTTCGTGAACTAAATATGACCGAAAAAACAATCAGCGCTCTATTCTTAGATTAGATTTAATGATCAAGACTAAAAAAAAATTTAACGGGACTGGTACATTGTGTCCTTGCTAGCGGCTTGCAACGAATATTGAACAGCGATTCTTAGGATTATGCACACATAAGACTTTTTAATTTCCCGCTTCTCCTAAACGCAGACATAAGGCCAAACTCCTGTTACTTTTATGATTTACCGAAAGTAAATGCTTTAAAATGATACTTGATAAAAAAAAGTATTTATAACTGTCTATAATTGTTCAGTACCAAGTTCCATAATTTGGTCGCTGAGAAAAGACAAGATCGTCCGCTAGTCCGTAAGTGGTGTTCTTTACTTAAGCATTTTAGGGAAACCCGAGTTTCAACAAAAACAGCCTCCAGAGCTCCAGTGTCAGGAACTTACCTTGGTGTAATTTTGACCTCATAAGATAGTCTACTTCTTCATTTCTAAAATGACGTTCCAGTGAAAAGTTTTCTGCCAAATATGGAAAAAGTATATAGATTTTCTTTCCTTAGATCGGGTTCAAGTGAATTCCAGATTTTAGCAACTTGGTAGGTAAAAGGGTTCTTCATCCAGTTAAGGTCAAACCTTTGCATGCCAAGATTAACACCACTACCTCTCAAGTTATATGTTTTAACATATAACTTATAAGACTTAAAAGTCTTGAGAACTAAAACAAATTCAAGAATGTATCTAAGTCCCCTACAGATTAAAGATTCATAAAGCAACGAAAGTTAACTACATATTCTCCTGTGTTCTACAGTTTTCATGTTTACGATCCCAACTAATTCCAGATACGACATTGTTTTATTGTAACCTAAATTAGATCTCTTTTGGAGTGCACCAATGGACAAAGGCTAAATGGCTCATTGACCAATCGGAGCGTGGGCATTACTTTGTTATGATTTACTGTAATAGATCTAGATTTATTCATCGGACTTCAAAATTCATTGATCGTATCCCGGATTTAATTACTTTTCAGGACTGTTGCGCGCACTTTTGCGTATTTGACAACCTTTCTCAACATGTGATATTGACATAACGATCATGCGTAGAATATTAACTGATTTCTGGTATAATCTTAGCAATGGAGGTAAACAACGTGACAATTGAGATTCTGGAAGCTCAAGTAATAATACCAGCAGATTCTTGCATGGCAGTGATACGCATGCTCCGTCAGGGATTTCTTGCTATTGCTACTGCAGTTGAGTAAGTAAAGAAACAGTTCAGCTAAAAGTTGATCGTGAAAAGGAACAAAACGAATGTAGGGAGGTCAAAAGTCAGCAACATGTGAATCCTTTTAGCCATGTAGTTTTTCATTAGCAGCAAGAGATTTCTGGTTATAAGCTCATCTACATGAAAACGAAAAACAACGATTATAAAAAATGTTGTGCTAAGCAGTTAATTTTTCGGTTGGCAAAACTAATGGTTTGAAACAAAATGATGAGGGTAGGGTGTGCTACCTGTACGCCACCACGCAAGTGCTAACTTGAAAAAAAATGTTTAAACTCACACACAGAAAATGGAAGAAATACGAGGTGGGTAAAAGATAGTGCAATCGTTTGTGTAACTTCAGTTTAACTGCTTTTAATATATACTAAAACAGTGGATAGTGTTTTTCGCGCGCTCTGATTGGCTACTCAATCAGTGAATATCCTGCACTATTCACTGATTCACGTCCAGTTCCTCCGAGCGGCCGACGCCAAACTCGCGTGAGTTGCGAGAAAAATGCCTTCCCGGTTTGCTGCCGTAAACAAACAAAGAAATTTCACAACTAATCAAGCAAGCTGTTTCCGAAATACACGAAGAAGGTGACGAAGTTCGGATTGAAAGTTTTAACAGGTAAGGCTTTGTCTTTTTGACACGAATTTATCGATAAAACCGGTGAAAAAGTTTTTTGTTTACAAATGCAAATTAAGTTTAAGTCTTGCGTTTCTTTATTTAGTTGAGTTGTTCAATTTAATAATCTTTTTTTATAGAATGATTTTAAATACAAAAGGAATTCACAACTTCTTTTGAAGAAATTTCCCCGCAAGAGCTAAACAAATGCCTTCAAAAGTTTTAATTGTCGGCAAGAAAAAGCGACGGCCGCGGCCGCCCGGTCATTACGCGCCAAAATTGTAATCGTTGGCAACAGTATTTGAGTTAAAAATCATCATTTTTGTGCTCAATTATCTCACTTTTTTAGTAAATATCCACGACTAGCCACCTCCACTTCGGTGAATAATTGTTATTTATTTACCCTTATTGGTTTTTAATTTAACGGGTCTTTAATTTCGCGTTTTTCGCGATTGTAAAAAATTAAGTCGCGAAATTTAATACCCATATAGAAAATTCATATAACAGCAAAAAAAAATTATCAGCATGTAATAGTAACAACATACTTAGGATATGTATCGACAAATACACAAATTGCTAACTGTGGTTTTACAGGTAAGCTACATATTGTATCTTCAGTTGGGAAATAATGTTAACTTGCAAAGATTTCACACATTGTTTGAGACATTTTAAAAAGCTGACTTTTTTTACAAGACAAAATGAAGTTAAGGTGACTCGACCCAGTTTTTTTTGGGGGGGTACCATCCTACTTTGAAGCTCTCTGGTATCCCCACCTTTACTTTTATCGTAAGTCTAACACATAGAATGGATAACATATAGATCAATCTACAATATAACATAAAATTTTTGGCGATCGGAGTAAATGTCACGTGGTTATAACGCCACGCCCCTTTGAGGTCTGAGTCGAAAATCGGCTGTTGCCGGCATTTTTTCGTGAAAATCTCTCGGCTACACGTAGTGCGCATTAGTGCCTTGCGCTGAACAGAGTTTCACCAAAATCGCAAAAACCCAATTCGAGAAATTCAGCGGTTTCCAAATTTAGGTCATAATTTATGCGAAAATGATAAGCAAACTTTACAAGGATTATATATAATAAACTATGAGATTCATCTCCTTATCTTGGGCATCGTTATAACAGGTGGGTCCTTGCAAGTCAGCAAAACGCTTTAGGGCCTTGTAAATGCGCGCGATTTCGAGCAAAGCAGACATATAGAAATTATAGTTTTCGCTATTTGTTGACGTTTGTCAGCGTTTGAGAGTCCTTCTCACGAAAAAAGCATTTTCTTAAAAATTCGTAGTTTTTTTTCCTTCCAATTTTTTCAGGGCCACAATTGATTAACTACCTACCCGGACTCTGAATTTCATGGTCATTGAAAAACTGTGACATTATCTTCTATAAGCCCAAACTTGAGTAAACATTGAAGATTTTTAGCGTTTTGGCTGAGTTAGTGCTTTGGGAGTTGTCTATTGTTTCTAGTCTGTCATTATACAGCATTCTTGTTCAGCACGCGTGCAATGACCGCGCTTGGCTGACTTCCGAATGCTCACCGAGATATTATAAATTTGGTACAGTGAGACAGGCCATCGCGTGATACATAGAGGTTTAAGGAACAATTTTTAATCAATTCTCGTGCTTCTTGTGTCTTTGCAAAAAAATCAAGAAGTGCTACACACTAAGTCTACTTACTATTACAAAAATATCATTTTTTCATAGGTTTAATGCAAGCCAATAATTAAACCAACTCGTGACGGGAATATCTCGGTGAGCATTCGGAAGTCAGCCAAGCGTGGTCATTGCACGCGTGCTGAACAAGAATGCTGTATAATGACAGACTAGAAACAATAGACAACTCCCAAAGCACTAACTCAGCCAAAACGCTAAAAATCTTCAATGTTTACTCAATTTTGAGCTTATAGAAGATAATGTCACAGTTTTTCAATGACCATGAAATTCAGAGTCCGGGTAGTTAGTTAATCAATTGTGGCCCTGAAAAAATTGGAAGGAAAAAAAACTACGAATTTTTAAGAAAATGCTTTTTTCGTGAGAAGGACTCTCAAACGCTGACAAACGTCAACAAATTGCGAAAACTATAATTTCTATATGTTTGCTTTGCTCGAAATCGCGCGCATTTACAAGGCCCTAAAGCGTTTTGCTGACTTGCAAGGACCCATCTGTTATAACGATGCCCAAAATAAAGGGATGAATCTCTTGGTTTATTATATATAATCCGTGTAAAGTTTGCTTATCATTTTCGCATAAATTATGACCTAAATTTGGAAACCGCTGAATTTCTCGAATTGGGTCTTTGCGATTTTGGTGAAACTCTGTTCAGCGCAAGGCACTAATGCGCACTATGTGCAGCCGAGAGATTTTCACAAAAAAAATGCCGGCAACAGCCGATTTTCGACTCAGACCTCAAAGGGGCGTGGCATTATAACCACGTGACATTTACTCCGATCGCCAAAAATTTTATGTTATATTGCAGATTGATCTATATGTTATCCATTCTATGTGTTAGACTTACGATAAAAGTAAAGGTGGGGATACCAGAGAGCTTCAAAGTAGGATGGTACCCCCCCAAAAAAACTGGGTCGAGTCACCTTAAAAACGCTGAAATTGCGAAATTAAATACCAATGAGGTATTCATATCATCATCTTTCCCGGGTATATAAGAACCAATTTAATGACCAGCTCCTAGCTAGCTTGCTAGCTTAGGGATGCACCATTAGAAATGTGAAGGGGGGGGTAGGACTTTCTGGAAAGGCATGTTATTTTTTTCACAACCAGCAGGAGTGCAGGATTTTTTTTTCAACCTTCAAACCCTTGCACGATTTTTTTTTTCCAAAATGACTATGCCCTCTTTTGGTCTTGTTTTACTAGACTGTTTCAACCGCGCAAATGTTTTTTGTTGTAGTGTTCCAACAGAACACGTTTGTTTTAAGTATATTTTTTTCATACTAATTGAGATTTTCTATTGAATTTTGGCGTGTGAAAACCCTGTTCAGGGTTCGCAGCCAATCAGAATGGCGAAACGACTTTCACACACGTGAAAAAAAGCGTTTCGTCCAGTCACAGATGTTTAGTACATAATGTAATAGGACACCTAAACACGTGCAGTGTTAGACATGGACTTTTTTCGCATTGTATGTCAGATAAATCTCTCTCGCTTTCTGGATCTCACTCGCAAAGCCTTGCTCGTTCAATTTCTGATGCGAACCAACTCGTGCGTAAATACCGTACGCCCGCGCTGCCCATGAAGTAATCTATACGTTCAAACGTCCGAACTGAGTTCAGTGGCAGTTGAAACAGCTACACAAGCAGATCAAACGGTGTTTTACCCAAAGTAAAGTATTGCGAAGAAAGAGGAAGAAGAATGCTCTAAAGGAAAATAAAGAAAAACAAAAGAAGAAATTTCAAGCAGGCGAGGACTGGAACACAGAGAAGGAACCTGAGGGAAGACAAGAAACAGAGAAACAGAAAGAAGGAAAGCAAGCATCTCAGTCCTTATCATGCAAGGACTGGAACACAGAGAAAGAACCTGAGGGAAGACAAGAGACAGAAAAACAGAAAAAGAAAAGGAAGAAGAAGAAGAAGAAGAAGAAGAAGAAGAAGAAAAAGAAGAAGAAGAAGAAGAAAAAAAAGAAGAAGTAAAACTGCAGCCAGCATGTCAGTCTTCATCAGGCGAGGACTGGGATACAGAGGAAGAACTTGAAGAACATTTCCTCTAAATCCTACCATATGTCTGTGGCCCATATGTTTAGGTTCAAGTTTTTATTAGAATGCACCATTTCTATTTATGGTTTTGCAAAGCATTCAAAATATTTTGTGTTAGTTTGGGTAAATAATATTCTTAATACTTTTAAATGCAGCGGGATCTGCAGTGTGATTGGTGTTTTTGGGACATCTACTTTTGTTTATAGCTGTAAACTTTATGGATTCAAGTAGCAACGCATATTGTACAACACCAACTCCATAAACTTGCGTGCAAGTGGAACTATTGACGTTGTTAACACAATCTCACTTTAATCCCATTAAAACAAAAGTATTTCAATAAAAAGTTTATTTAATTTATAAAGTTAAACAATTATCACCACAGTCTCTTAATTTAATACTATGGCAGCTATAGAGATCAAGGGCATCAGAGTTGGTTCAAATTGAAATCTCTATTTAGCCAGTAGAAATTGTTTTTTCTGCCTGAAATGTAGTTTGACATGAATTTAGGAAGTTGGGGGAAGGGGATTTCCTGTTACAGATCACAGATTTATTTTTCAGACTGTGTAATATATTGTCGCAGTCACATTGGTTATCCAAGCAGGATATTTTTTTCTGGTTTCGTTGCAATGCAGGATTTTTTTTTCTTAAAATTTTGTTTTGCAGGATTTTTTTTTTTGTTTTTGGACTCCCCCCCCCTTCACATTTCTAATGGTGCATCCCTTAATGGATTAGAGCGCTGTACCGGTATCGCTGGCAGAGGTCAGGGTTCAAATACCGCTTTCTTTTCGCAACTGCAAAAGATGCGTATTTAACTTAACTTTGATGATCTTCTGTGGTTTTATTCTATTACTTTTAAATAATTGTTTAGAACAAAATTCCATGTATTTTCTCAATTTGCTTTATATGCCGTAAATGTTTGTATATATGCCCATCTACATGAAACGAAAAACATTTTGCGAATGTACCAAAGCCTACCAGATTACCACCTTTAGATGTATTAAATTATTCTTCGTCTCTCTTTTGTCAGTTAAAGTCGTACTTTTCCTTTTTTATGTTATTGCTACGGGCTGAGTTTAAGTTTTAACTTTGATTTTATACCTAATTCTGACGGGAGATTAAATTAATAGAATTCAAACAAGAAACTTCAAGATGTGTTTTGATGTAACTGAATGGTTAATTTATTATGTCCAGGCATTCAATTCTTAACATTTTTCGCACTACTTCTGTTGGATATAGAACTCACCTAAAATCTCTTGCTAAGTTGCAAAAGCCCAGGGCTTGTAACCGGGATTTTACAGTAAGACATTGGGGAGTTGCGCGCCTACTGCGCGGAAAGACTGAGTAGATTGTAATAATACCGCATATCATGGTTATTTGTCTTTAAGCTATGATACAAAAAGCTTGACAGCGGAACCAAACATGCACTTCAAAGCTGCCACTGGTAAACAACTGGCGTTTGCTCCGGGAGAGGTTTTCAAGGAAGTTAAAATTGGTATCATTAACAAGGATAACAGCTTTGAAGGCAACAGAACCTTTCAAGTCATTTTCTCAAGTCCACACAGCTCCGTTATATTGAAAGGTCCGAAGCAGGTCAATGTAACTATTATGTACACCAAAGGTAAAAATGGGATGTATTAATGCAAAGTTAGTAGGGGTAGTTATTTTGGTTAGGAAACGATTTTGTAATTCCTTTTTCATAAACTGCTGACGCACAGTTAATTTGAGCGATGTGTTCGAAAACGAGGTATTAGAGGAACCACAACAAAGATGACGTTGAAGTAAAATCACTGCTGTGTACCATTGTGTACACAAAGAGGCCGTGTTGGAAAAAATATGTTATGAGGAGGATCGTTCTTCCTAAGGGTGGATTTCCGCTGTCGCGTAATTTTTACATGTTGCACATGCGTAAAATTTACATCCGTAAATAAAATAGAGGCAATCCATGAATATCGCACGTAGGCGCAAAAGTGAACCTCGACCAACTTCACGATTAAGCTCAACACTTTACATCTTGCCTCTATTTTATTAACTTGATTAAAATTTCCGTGCGTCTACGCGCACGTGTAAATTACGCGACATTGGAAATCAACCATTACGGATGGTAACACTTGCAACTCATGAAAAAATATCTCTGATCATCATACACCTAGATGCAGCTTTTCATTTCTTTACGATAGCCAACCTTGAGAAGTGTTGCCACTTTCTTGAGCCCTCGGTTGGAACGGATTGCTTGCCGGTAAAACCCAAACTCTTGCCAGTGCCGGCAACATATTTATCCCTCTCGGTAATCAAGGAAGTTTGAGATTCCCCATCCACTTGTTGGGGTTGGGCAGTTGACCTTTACCTTCTTATGACTACGTGAAACAGTACTAGTGTTACAAAAGACAGGTAACTAATTCTTTTTGATGCTGGTTGGATGTTTTCTGAAAATATGTATAAATTCCGGATCTGGGTCGACAATGAAGTCATTTAAACCAGAGTTGATGTACTGATTAACCCTAGAGAGAATAGCAAGTCATGTCAGTCAATCGTCGGTAATTGACTATGTTCATTCAACAGGATAAGCTTAGGATTGCTACTAATATTTCTTCATCGTACATCTTAACTTACCTTTTTACCAGCTGGGCCTTTGCTTACATTTACTCCCCCGGAATGTTCACCAAGACCTCAAAGGCATTTTTGTTTAGTTCTACTGGGTTTCTTCTTTCTAAAGACCCATCGACAATGTTCCTCAGCCAAATCAACAGCAAGGCTCAACGCACTTTTAAACACTTTTTTCACAAGAAAGCAATAGATTTTCTATCGAACTACAAGCTGGATCGACCGATCCCAGTTACACGATTTTCACAAAATAATCGACAAACCTTATAACTGAACTTCGAACTTGCAGCCATGTTAGGTCTGTCGTAAGAAAATGTAAGATCGATGCCTATTAAACCTCGTTTTCGCGGACTCGGCTCAAGTCTAAGCCACGCGTCCGCCATTTATGATTAAGGCGTATGTGATATCATTTGCTTTCTTATTTACCAGTTGGACGGCGTGGATTATTTTTCTTATGAGATGTCCGAGCTTGTTATCCGTCCTCCAGAAAATACACGTGAATTGATGTCTCGACCGAAATACTATTAAGGAACCCAGTGTTTTGAAGTATATTAACTGCCAGTTAAACATGCAACGTTAGGGCCTGTTTACACGGAGCTGGGGCACCCCAGGTAGGTGAGGTAACCCGCTTAGCTGGGGTAAAAAAAATTAACCCTCCTTTACATGTAATCTTACAACCCCGCCATCCCGGGGTGCACATTTTCAACATTATTGAATGGTCGCTAAGCACGTAAACAAAAAAAAACGCTGGCAAACCTCGTGTTTTGGCGATTAATGCTCTTCTACACTCACGTGTTGCTCTTGCTGCAACCTCCGATGCCGTGGCTTTAAATTTCTATTGCTACCTTTATTAAGGATACAAAGCCACCGCTAAAATGAATTTTGAGCGAATTTGGTGTATTCCGAATCCGACCCCGGCTAGGCGGGTTACCCCACCTTGAAACGTTTACATGGCAAAATTTGACCCCGGCTGAGGTTACCCGGTCTGGCAGACCGGGCTACCCGCTTAGGCGGGTCACCCCACATATCATGTAAACGTGATCCAAGTAAAATGAGAGATTATATGGACAGGCGGGTTACCCCACCTAAGCGAGCTACCTCACCTACCTGGGGTCCCCCACCTCCATGTAAACAGGCCCTTAGAAATATATTTAAGACTTAATGTAACTAAGTACAACATTGTCACTGCGTTATTTATATTCTTTACGTAAAAGGAAGACACACGAGAGGCCTGTATATCACACGATATGATATATTTTTCAAAAGTTCTGTGCGCTGATTTCTATTTTTGTTGTTTTTGTTTTCGAATCTTCAAGGTGAAGTCCACTCAAAGGGAGCCATCATGCATGGTATGAGCCAAAGATACACTCGCTATAATGGCCTACTTAAACTTTGATTTCCTGCTTATTTTCAGTCTTGCTAGTCGTTCTTGTCTGTCTTTTGTACAGTCACTCATCAGCTTAATATCACCTCTCTTTTCAATGAACAGGGGACCTACTGCACGGTTTGCTTACTGCCCTGATAAGCTTGATTGGTCTTTTCAATCTGTTCTGATCCGATGAAAGGAGTGATAGTAAGTGACTTCTTACTTAGAAGTAGGTTAAGCTAATATTTCTTTACTTAGGCTATTTCAACACTATACCATAATAGCTTTTCGTGCCGAAACGAAATTAACTTCCGTCTCAGTGGGTTCCAGTCTCCTTTCCTACTCATTCACTTCCGCTACGGTCTGAATACCTATTCAAACTACAGCAAAGTGTGGCACAGAACCCGCTGTCCTATATGTGACGCTCCTTTATCGAGATCGGCAAGGGAGTCACAGCTTCGCTCCGATCCAGAAATCGCGTCGAAGCCTATTTCCCCTTCGTAAAGGGTCGTTGCCATTTTTAATGGTCGATGCCACCATTGGTAACCAAGCCTTTAATCATGTTAGATGTTATATATTCCCTGAATTAAGTTACAATAAGGCAAATAATACGTCCTTTTATAGTCTTGAAGAGAACAACGTTGAAGCCCAAGTTGAATTTACGTCAAAAGTTACGGAAAGGGCCAGAGTCACCCGTTGTTGATGTACAGAAAAACAGTTTGCTAGTTTATGTACTTGAATTTGTCGGACTTTGGCGGGTCGGTGTTCCATGTTGTAGTCTAGTTGTAAGGGAGAGAGATTAGGATACGAAAAGTCCGAGGTCTAGATCCGGATTCGATGCAATTTTATTTATTTATTTTTTTTTTTTTTTTTACGAAAGGGACAACTGCGGCGCCGAAATCGCCGTTCTTATTTAGAATAGCAGCCATATCCGGTATGATTTTCGTGCTGACGCAAAAGCTAACTGGTATAGTGTGAATATAGCCTTAAATAAAAGAGTTTAATTAAGAAAAAATAATATGTGTAGTTGCTAGATGATGACGCCGTCAACAAGCATAGCTAACATAAATTATTAGGAATTTTAGTGGGGCAATGATTATCTGGAAAGCAATCCTTGGTTGATGCTTAAAAAACCCAACCCATGTGGTAAAAATGAAGAATGTGCAAAATAGTTTTCAGTTAGTTGAGAGAGTAGAAGTGCTGTTCAATATTAGAAAATGTGCACAATAAACTTTAAGATATTAATTAAACGAAGGAACTGCCTCGGCTACCACGGGCGTGTAATGTACCCATGAGTACCCAGCATTAAGCTATCAACAGTAATACTACAAAATAATCAGAAGACACGCGTCATTATTATTGCTGTTATAGCGACTTTCCTAATTCTGTCAAGCCCCATTCAGATTTCAAGACTATTAAAGAGCCGAACCAAATACATTTATTAAATACATATTCAATTTGGATCGGCTTTGAAATGGCTTTAATTCAGCTGATGATAAGCTCGACTCCTAAAATGGGCGATGGCTTGTGACGAGCCAAATGCTAATGAGAGACAGAAACAGATTTTGCTTGTAACCATTAGGTAACATGTAGACTTGCCCACAGGTCGAGCGCAGCGCGCGCTAGAAATTTTTAATGTTTTCGGTAGCGAAGGACTTTGAGAAAGTCTAGGTAACATGTGAAGTTTGGCGTTTGACCGTGCCTCACAGAATGATCTATGTATATGTTACAGTTAATTTTTTATCTCAGGTAAGTTTTGCTTTTCTTTTGTTTTTGGTTATGGTATTGTATGCTAAAAAAGTTGAAACAAAGGAAAAATAAAAATTACCTGAGATAGAAATTACGTACATATGCGTTTGGATACTAAACACATTTTTAGTAAGCTATTTAACGCAGTTGTTTATTTAACACAGTGAAAGTATTGTTCACTCACTTTTCTTTTCTTTTTCGTCTTTCTTTTTTAACAGGTTAGTCCGATACGGCAATGTCCTTATATGTAACGTACATACTTCATATTGTAATAGATGGAGATATGTGAAGTGAAGTAATTTACATATTCACGTGTCTTTACAACTGTAGTGCTGTCCTTTTAGGTAAAAGAGTTTTGTGATGCAAAAAACTTTGATAAATAGACATTATGCTCAAGTGAATCACTAACATTTTCTATACCCTTTATCCAAAAAAATGATAATAAAAAAGCTTTTTGTGTTAAGGTTTTATTTACTGTATACACTTACCACGTGTCACTACAACCGTAGTGGGTCCTTTTGGGTTGGATTTGTGGTGCAAAAATGAATCACTGAAAGTTTTTTTTTTAATACTCTGGTGTCTTGCTGTATACGCGCATCAGTTAATACGATGAAAAGAGAAAACTTTTTTCTTTTTATCCAAACAATAAAACTTTATTGTCATTTTCACTGGCACTGCAAAAAACAAAAGAAAGAAAATATAAAAGCAAACAACGCATGCAAAATATCATAGTTACTTTACAAATTGAAATAAGAAAAAAATATGTCAAAAGTAGCCCGACGAGCTTAATTTATCTTCGCTATTTAGCAGTCAAATTCTGGAATACTGGCTCCGAAAATAATATTACAGCGCTTATAAGCAACGACGACGACGGCAATGAAAAACGTGACGACTTGAAACAGTACCAGAGTTCCAAGCGATT